AGGCTGAAGTCAAACACTCAACTGACTGAGCCACCCAGCCACCACAAAAATATTTGTTTGTTTATTTATTTAATGTCTATTTATTTTTGAGAGAGACAGAGACAGAATGCGAGTGGGTTAGGGGCAGAGAGAGAGGGAGACACAGAATCCGAAGCAGACTCCAGGCTCTGAGCTGTCAGCACAGAGCCTGACACGGGGCTCAAACTCACGAGCTGTGAGATCATGACCTGAGCTGAAGTCAGGCACTCAACTGACTGAACCACCCAGGCGCCCTGAGAATATTTATTTTTAATGTTTATTTTGAGAGAGAGACAGAGCACAAGTGGGGGAGGGGCAGAAAAAGGGGAACAGAGTCTCCGGGGTGGGCTCTTTGCTGACAGCAGTGAGCCCAGTGTGGGGCTCGAACTCACACGCCTGATCATGACCTGAGTCAAAGTCAGACATGCAAACAACTGAGCCACCCAGGTGCCTCAAGTACGAATGTCTTGTATTAGCCTCTGGCACAGGCATCCCTATGATAGCAAAGGGCTATATACTGAGTAGTTAAGTATAAGGACACTGAAGCCAGACCACCTAGGTTTGAACCCTGGTTGTACAGGTCACTCATTGTATGACCTTGGACCAGTTATGTAATTTCTCCATGCTTCAATTTTGTCTGTAAAATGTGAATAAAATAAAATAGCATCCACCTCCTAGGAGAATATGATGAAAAATTAAACAAGGTAATGAATGTAAAGTTTTAGAACAGTGACTGATACCGGCAGTAAATCCTTTATAAACGTTGCTGTTATATTGTATCTTCTTTCTAGTAAAGAAAAAGTTTCTATGCTTTGTTTTCCTAATAGAGGAACGGCCACTGTATTTTCTTCCCTGCACACATCCGCTTTGGGTTATAACCATAGACGTCTCACTGTTGGAATCTGTTTTTTCTTGATACACTTTTTCCACGTTTTATCAAAGTTAACTTTTATATTCGATTTGGTGTGTGAGGGGAGAGAGATGCACCTGTCATCTGCTGATTGTCATAAAAGCATAGATCCGAAGTTTTTTGTTGTCAAAGCAACATCTCGACATTAAAGAGAATTTTAACCTTAAAATGCCCTAGTGTCTCCCATCCTAAGCAAAATAACATTTGTCTGTATTCTTCCCTTGTTTTCCCATTTGCCTCTTTGTAATGGTTGTGTATTATGTGGGTGAGGTATTTTAAACATCCTAAAGTCTGCTGGCATATTTGATGACTATTCAGTGATCCACCATTCACTTTCATCAGGTGTCAGCTATATCTCATACTTGTTTCAGATCTTTGTTCTTTAAGAAATAAATTGTAGGTAGACTTGAAGGTCCCCTTTTGTACCCTTCCCCAATCCTTTTCATTTTCTCCCCAAGTCTAGGGAATTACTATTCATGAATCCAGTTCTTTTCATTACTCTTTTTTTTTTTTTTTGAGAGCAAGAGAGAATCCCAATCAGGCTCTATGCTCAGCACGGAGCCCTCCATGGGGCTCAGTCCCGCCACCATAAGATCATGACCTGAGCCGAAACCAAGAGCCAGACGCATAACCTACTAAGCTAGCACCAGGAACCCCTTTATGTGTGTTTAAGTTTTTACTACATGTTCATGTGTGAATGAACATACGTGTCATATTTGTTTCAAGTTTATATTTTATTCTTTAGCTCAATTTTTTCAGTTAATAATCAGAAGATTATTCTTCCCCTACCCATTCTGAAATCCAATCAAGGTTCATGCATTGTGTTTGGTTCTAGCTCTTTAGCATATCTAGAACAGTCTTCTTGCCCTTTTGGCTTAATTGTTTTGCTTTTCTTGACATTGGCTTTTTTGAAGAAGAGTTCAGGTCAGTTTTCTTTTAGAAAGCTCGCTCCTTAAGGAGATGCACTAAAATGTACCATTTTCAGCATTGTTGCATAATAAAGCTGCCACCTTCCCCACTCACCCCAATTTTGACTGTTTGCATAGTACTTCCAACATTCTGATACCACTAGGTAAAAGCTTGGTGCTTTTTTTTTTTTTTTTTTTTTTTTTTTTTTTTTTTTTTTTTTTTTTTTTTTTTTTTTTTTTTTTTTTTTTTTTTTTAGTTTATTTTGAGAGCTCACAGGTAAGCAGGGGAGAGACAGAGGGAGAAAGGAAGGATGGGAGAAGGTGAAAGAATCTCAATCTCAAGCAGGCTCCATGCTGTCAGAGCAGAGCCCAACACAGGGCTCAATCCCACAAACCAGGAGATCATGACCTGAGCCAAAATCAAGAGTCAGACACTTAACGACTGAACCACCTAGGCGCCCCTACAGATTTATTTGTAAGTAATTTCTACACCCAATGTGGGGCTCAAACTTACAACCCTAAGATCAGGAGTCACATGCTCTACCAACTGAGCCCACCAGGTACCCCTGGCTTTTTTTGGTTTTTTATTTGTTTCTTTTTTTAGACACTTGACATGTATTTTCGAGTCACTTTTCAGAAGGTTTATGCTTGTTTACAATGTGGTACAGTAAGTTGGAATCAGTGTGTGTCTTCCACTCCACCATCTTCCCCCTCCCTGTTAAGAGTTGGGATTATAGGGGGCACCTGGATGGCTCAGTTAAGCATCCAGCGCACCTCCGCGCATATCATGATCTCTCAGTTTGTGGGATCAAGCCCCGCATAGGGTTCTGGACTGATGGTGTGGAGCCTGCTTGGGATTTGTCTCTGCCCCTCCCCTGCTTACACCCACCTTCCCTCCCTCCCTGCCTCTTAATAAATAAACAAACAAACAAACTTTGAAAAAAAAAAAAAAAGAGGTGGTATTATGAGGGGTTTTCAGACATACAAAGTTTTACCACAATCTTGCTGTAGGTAACTGACGGCCGACGCGCCCAGAGCTGCTAGTTAGCGGCACCGCTGTGTTACAAACGAGCCTCCTGCTCATTTCCTTAATTTCGTCACCAGTGTTGATCCGTAGCCAAAGATATGTTTAATGCAAAATTGTGAAATAGTTATCGTTACTGATAATTGGAGCCGTAAGGGAAGAAAGATTGGCTTCCACCTACACTCCTAGATTTTCTGTCCGGAACCCTGTAAATTCGTGTCCTGCCTAAGGACACATTTCGGGGACCCAGGTGCCCCGAAAATGAACACAGTATTTATTGCCCTCAGCTCAAAATAATCCTTATGCTGGAGTAGCATATTTGGGGATGGCATCCTCTGCCACTCTAAAGAACATTCAAGTACCTGACTAACATCCCCTGGAGAGCTTACAGATTATTTCTTCATAGCAGCCCCGCGAGAGTGCTTATTCTTCCCCCATTTAATAGAATGAAACACTGAGGCTTAACATTACTTGCCTAACTGTCACAGCTAGGATCCAGACTTGGGCATTTGGACTCTAGAACCCGTGCTCTTGTTATTAAGACAAGTGAGAAGATACACTATGTTGTGTGGAGGGCAGGAACCCAGGATGTGCATTTCAGGAGATGTTGGCAGCATCCCTTTACCATCAGTCATGAAGACGACCGGTCACTAGAAAACGTGAAAAGGAACACAATATTTATTTGTTTATTTATTTATTTGGTGCCATGCTGGGTGTGGAGTCCAACACGGGGCTTGAACTCACAACCTTGAGGTCAGGACCTGAGCTCAGATCAAGAGCTGGCTGCCAGCGGAGTCACCCAGGTGCCCCGAAAATGAACACAGTATTTTATCGATTAGCTTGGTGACACTGAGGAGTTAGTGTCTTCCCAGTTCTTATGTGTAGAGTGAAAATTATATTACCTGCTTTCTTTGTGAACCACCACGCTATCTGCTGAGCGTTGTTTTGGGTTTTGTTTTGTTTTTTAAATGTTAACTATTTGGGGTGCCTGGGTGGCTCAGTCAGTTAAGCGACCGACTCTTGATTTCGGCTCAGGTCACAGTCTCACAGTTCTCCAGTTCGAGCCCCAGATCAGGCTCCGCACACTGACAGTGCAGAGTCAGCTTGGGATTCTCTGCCCCCTCCCCCCACCTTCGAAATAAATCAATAAACTTCAGGGAAAAAAAAAACAACCTAAGTATTTGTTTTGAGAGGGAGAGAGAATCCCAAGCAGGTTCTGCACCATCAGTGCAGAGCCCAACACAGAACTTGAACCCACAAACCATGAGATCTTAACCTGAGCCAAAGTCAGGAGTCAGACGCTTAACTGACTGAGCCACCCAGACACCTGTTTTTTGTTTTGTTTTGTTTTGTTTTGTTTTGTTTTTTGTTTTGAGTAGGCTCCACTCCCAGCGTGCCATCGTGGGGCTAGACCTTACAGCCCTGAGACCAAGAGTCCCATGTTCTACAGACTGAGCCAGCCAGGCACCCCTCTGCTGGGCATTGTTAATACACGAATAAAGTGACTACCGTTGAAACTGGTGATGAGTAAAGGACTGTGGGCCCTACCAGATTTCCTTTATACAGTAAATTCCAGTTGTACTAGTAGTGTATTTATCACGTGATCAGAATCTCAGGTATACCTCAGGGGCGCATGGGTGGCTCAGTCCAAGCGTCTGACTCTTGTTTCAACTCAGGTCACGATCTCACATATCACGGATTCAAGTCCTGAGTTGGGCTTGGCACTGACAGTGTGGAGCCTGCTTGAGATTCTCTCTCCCTCTCTCTGCCCCTCCCCTGTTTGCTCACTCGCTCTCGAAATAAGCAAATGAAATGAAAAATACAAAAAGAAATCCCAGGAACAACTCAAGATAGTTCAGACTATTTTGGATTTTTTCTTTTCCCGTAACAGTCCCCACACCGTGCATTGAAGTTAGAATTAAAGGTGTCGTAATGTTATTCGGTAATGGGGCTTACGTACGTTATTTAAATTAATGGCATTTTAAGAGTTTCACTACTGGTAAGAATTTGATTGTTCTACTTTTGGTGGTGTGTGTTCCATTGCAGACTGGAAATAGTAAAGGCTACGCGTTTGTGGAGTTTGCGTCTGAAGATGTTGCCAAAATAGTTGGTGAAACAATGAACAACTACCTTTTTGGTGAAAGACTCTTGAAGTGTAAGTGCTCTTCTCTCGCATTCTGTGGGGATGCATTGTAAGGACTTAAGTGCAGAGATAGGAGTGCACTTTCTAGACAGATTTCCAGTTGGGATTTTAAATTTTTTTTTTTTTCAACGTTTTATTTATTTTTTTGGGACAGAGAGAGACAGAGCATGAACGGGGGAGGGGCAGAGAGAGAGGGAGACACAGAATCGGAAACAGGCTCCAGGCTCTGAGCCATCAGCCCAGAGCCCGACGCGGGGCTCGAACTCCCGGACCGCGAGATCGTGACCTGGCTGAAGTCGGACGCTTAACCGACTGCGCCACCCAGGCGCCCCTCCAGTTGGGATTTTAAAATCTGCTCGAGTGAGAGCCGTGTGTGCCGAGATGGAAGTAGGACAAGTCACTAGGAGTGCATGGGAGGGCAGGTGCCCGATCACTCATGGGATGTGGAAGGCTCCCCCGAGGAAGGGTCTTTAGGTGGAAACCTGAAGATTAAATGGGAGTGTGCCAGGGGACAGCACGTGCAAAGCGAGAGGTGACTGATGCTACTTATTTGCCTGTGAAGGAGTGTGAGGGGAGCCAGGAGATGAGAGGAGGTCAGGTTACCGAAGGCCGGGCATGTAAATCTGGGAGTTGAGAAGATATCCTGAGGGCTAGGGGACGCCATTAATGGGTCCTAGATGGGATAAGGTTAAAGGCAAGAAATCCCATCTGAGAGTCACGTGAATGACGGTGGCGGTGGCCATGGCTCGTCCGCAAGAGAGGAGTAGAGGGGGGCGACGCCAGCTCAGTGCGGCCCACGGAGAGTGGAGCTGCCAGCTCTGTATTCGCAGAGCACCCCTGTCCGCAGCCCGGTGCCTCTGGAGGCAGAGTCTAAGTTTTGGCTTCTCTGCGCTGATGGTGGGATTGTGTGACCATCCCAGGTGCCAGAGCCACACAGCGGCTGGCGACCTGCCCAGGCAGCGTCACTCTCCCTCGGTTCCCGCCGCTGGGAGAGAGAATCCCAGCAGCCTCGTCGAGGTCACGGATTCATTTCGCACATAAAAAGCATGGCTCTTGCCGGGAGGAGATGGGCCCAAGAGGCGACCGAAAACATGTCAGGACGGCATGTGTAGGATCAGTGCTGTGCTGGGTCTGACTTCGAAAGATCACACGAGAGGTTCTGAGCTCTGTTAGGAGTTCAAATGGAGGATTAGCCACGTTGTCTCTTTTTTTTTTTGAGTGGAAGTAGTGTGTTTTGGAGGTGAGCTGAGGAAAATACTTGTAGGGAGTAGAGAAATCCGGGGAGAAGGAAGTCACTGAGGGTGAGCTGGCAAGCACCATAGTGTGTAGGCGGCTGGGCTCCATCCTGCTGGGTAGCACGGGGAGACCGAGTTACCCCAACTCCCAGGCGAGGGAACTGGGGTACTTAACCAACTCCCCACCTGTCGGTTGAAAGTCGATGCCGAGGGTTGGGCCTGCCTTTGCGAACGGTCCCGTTGTGCCGCCACGGCCTGCAGAGGGCCCGTAAGCAGAGAGTTGGAGATCAGGGGAAGCTGGCTGAGTCCTGGAGAGGTAGGTACGCAGAGATGAGCTGAACGGGATCTTTCTGCTACGGCAGGTCACACAGTCTGAGATCCTGCGAGCTTTAAGGACCCCTGCCCCCAGACTTGATGCCACCACGACATGCCCTTCTACGACTCCTCTTGTTCACTCACGTATTCCTGGCTCCTGGATTAGTTCTTGGTGTTTAACAATAATTGTTGGCTGTGTGTCTTTCCTTTAGCCCCCCCCCCCCCCCCCCCCCCCCCCGTATTCTTTCACTCTTGCTCTTGAAAACGGGAGACCCATCATCTTGACAAAAACATTGAATCCTCTCCGTCGCGTTGGTTTGGAAACACTTTTCTTTCTTTCTCTTACATCTAGGTCATTTTATACCACCTGAAAAGGTACACGAAGAACTTTTCAGAGAGTGGCATATTCCATTTAAAAAGCCATCCTATCCAGCAGTGAAACGGTATAATCAGAATCGGACACTTCTTCAAAAGCTACAGATGGAGGAGCGATTTAAAAAGAAAGAAAAGTTACTCAGGAAGAGATTAGCCAAAAAAGGAATTGATTATGATTTTCCTCCACTGGTAAATATTCTTTCACAAAATGTTTTTCATAGTTTTTCACGGGGTGGGCTTTGTTCCTCAATAATTACAGCCTGTTTATGGTTTTATACATAAAGTGTCTAGCCCAGTGTTGAGGCTTTGTCTAAGTTTTTGAAACCTTGCACTGTAGGTTTCTTCTAAAAGTTTGTTAGCGCAGATCCCGTTATTTCCATTATACAGAAGAGGAAACTCTTGAAAGGGATTAGGTCATTTGCAAAGTTTTTATGATCTGTTTTTAAGTTACTGAAGTTAAACCACTGTTTAACCAAAAACTATAATGCTTATAGAAAACTATTGAAGATGTCATTCAGAATGAAATGTTTGGTTTATTATATGCTCTCCTTAAACAAGGCTGTGAATCAACGATCTTTCTTATTGCCATTCTGATTTTGGAATTAGAAATATTCTTCTTAACATACAGATCGGAATTAACCAATAAGCGTCAGTTCTGCGAATTAAATGAGCCAGGGGTTGAAATATACGAGACAACTTAACGAAAATGAGTTAGCACGGATTTTCAAATTCCTAGCTGTTCACTTCTTGCTCGAATCCTAAACACACACTTTCGCAGTAGTTGTTAAAAGAGTGTGTCACCGTCCCAGGGCCCTGGCGCTCGTGGGAGCCGTGTGGGAGCCGGGACAGTGAAGCTGCAAAACAGGCCTGCAAGAAATGCCTCTCCCGTAGCCTGTTTGCTGGCTTTTGCAAGAGCAGCTCTGTTTCATTGCCCAATCCTGAACTTGGCTAAGACAGGGCCCGCCTTTTCGCATTCTTCCAGTTCACGTTTCTTTTTTTTTTTTTTAATATATATATTTGTGTGTGTATATATATATTTTTTGTTTGTTTGTTTTGTTTTTTTGAGAGAAAGAGAATCCCAAGCAGGCTCCACACTGTCCATGCGGAGCCCAGTTGACATCACAACCCAAGCCAATATCAAGAGTCGGACTTTAACCAACTGTAGCTTTTGTTGTTACCGTTCCTCTGGTTCACATCTGACTCGGGTTTCTGTATGGCCAACTTCAGGTTTGGCCCTACTTCAACCTCCACAGCTGTGCCCATTCCTTAGTGAGGGTCTCTCTCCCGGTTTTGCCTTAAGATCATGGGTTTTGGTTTTTAAATTGAAATGCTTTGTCATTTGGAGAGCATTTACTGATTATGCGTGTAAGGATCTAATGGTAAGTTAAGCATGTAAATGGCATACGTATGTGACATTGCCAGTTCATTTCTTTATTTAAGGTTTTATGTAAAAAGAAAAAAAGAAGTGTTTCAGACGCTGGTCTTCAGAAATCTACAAATAGCCAGGTAAAATTGTTTTTATCATGTTATATGCCAGGTATAAGGGAAAGATAAATGGGGAAATACATATTCAAGACTACTGTCACTGATAAATACGCAGATTGGTAACGTCTCTTAAAATTTATTGAAGGTCTTATCAAAGAAGAAGAAGAAAAAAGCTCCGTGCACTCCTGGCACCCCTGAGCAGACTGTAGATAGCCAGGTAAAATTGTGTTCACTGTTGTGGAAATGGGGTATTATAGAAATGATTTGGAAGAGGAAAAGCAGGGGCACCTGGCTGGCTCAGTTGGTGGAGCGTGTGACTCTTAATCTCAGGGTTGTGAGTTCTAGCCCCATGATGGGTGTAGAGATTACTTTAAAAAGATAAAAGAGGAAAAGCAGTCCATGCTGCTGTCACTTTATTAAAATTTCAAATTTAACCTTGTGATTGTTTTAGTAAACCCTGGTGATTTAGCGGATGCAGTGAGCTTAGCAAAAGTTACTGTGAGCGTATGGCAGTTTACCTTTTCGGCAAAGTGACTGAGTCAGTAGGGAGAAATGAGGCTAGTATCTTTACAAACGTGGACTAGTTTTCTCCCTAATACCCTATAATGGAGCACGTTCTATTCCAGTTAATTGTGAGCTTGATACTAACTTTGGTAAGGGCATAGGCTGTGTTATGTGCACTTGTATCACCAAAAGGTATAAACAGGCCTAAAATAACACAGGGGAACTTGTAAAAATATAAGGCAAGGAGTATGGGGGGGGGGGGTAAAGTCATTCCTAATATCTTCCTTTATTTCTCTATTACAATGTTTTACTCATTGAATCCAGGGCCCCACACCAGTTTGCACACCAACATTTTTGGAGAAGCGAAAATCGGAAGTGGCTAAAATGAATGTTGACGATAAAGATAACGAAATAGTTTTCAAACAGCCTGTACCTGGTGTAAAAGAAGAAACACAGCAGACTCAAACACCTACACGCTCAAGGAAAAAAAGACGAAGAAAAGGCAATCAGTGATTCTAAATGTATTATATTTCTTCTGAAAAATGTGATTTTATTGTGAGGGCCAATTCTTTGTATTTAACTACGTGCAGTGAAATGCAACCATTGACAGGGTTCTTGGAGGACAAACTGTCAGTAAGGAAAGCGGTCAGTAACCGGCTTACCTGCCCTTGCTGGCATTTCAGCGTGCAGTAGCTGGGCTCACGCTGCCTCTTCGTCCTGGTCTCTAGTTTTCTTTGCACATTTCATAGCTGTCTTTAGTTTCTCTTCCTGGATAGAAAAGTCCCCACTTCCTGCAGCTTTTATTGTTACCATCAGATAAAGAATACAGACTC